TAACTTCTTCCTTTTGTATTGCCTGATATGTTAGTTTTGTGGGTTCCCTGTTTGCATCTATAAGCCCTTTGTCTTGGTGGGCTATTGTATGGGATTTTTCTGCATCCACTCTCCTGGCTGTCTCCTGTGTCCCTAATCTTACCCGTGTTCTTACAGTTTCTGGTTTTATTTTATAGGCTGACCTTGCAGCAGCCTATACTCTGAACCAAACATCAAATCAAATAATCCCTATGATTACTGTAAACTCCTTTGTAAATATGCTATAAGTAAGTGAAAGTGTCTTACCTTTCCCACCCACCTATTACATGAGGTTTATCTCCCAGTGGGACAAAAAGCCAATCTGAAGGACAAACATGCACCCTGGTGAGTAAATGTACATCTGTAAGTCACTAGATAGATAGACAGACAGACATATAGATAGATAGACAGACAGACATATAGATAGCTAGAGTACTTCATTGATCCCTGAGGGAATTTTTTTGTTGCAGCAGTACAATAAACAACAGAAATGACAAGGACACAGACTATGCACAGAGAACACAAATTGCAGTACCCATACTTAGTAAACTAAATGAAGTAAGAATAAAATAAGATGCTAAATAGTGACAAAAGTAATTAAAGTGGTTGTAGTGCAGGTGATGATCATAAGGTGACGGTCATTAGGATTTGTCCATGATAAGTAGAATAAATAATAATAAATGCAGAGTGGTGGCTATATGACAAACTGCATGACATTAAAACCTGCATCAAGAAAAACGTCCTTACCGAGTCCCAAAACAGTCACGGTGGAGCCTGAGCTGGCTGTCCAATTCTCAACAGGTTATCATCCTGCACTCTTGGAGCTTTTTTGTATATAACGTATGTATATAGGTTTTGCTACAGTAGACAATATTAGAAAGATATTTTGACAAAGGCATTTTTCATTATGCATCAATGTAGCTTAAGTGGGACACTGTGTTCCAATACAGTGATTGAAAATACTTTTAAGGATGCCACTGAAAAATAAAAGAACTAAAAACAAAACCAAAATAAAGAACAAAAAATGGGTTGAAAGTCCTTGTAAGTCCTAATCATCCATATCAAAACACTATAATCAGCTAGCATAACACACACTGTGTGGGTGCAGGTCTCACACACACACACACACACACACACACAGAAAAAAAACATTAAACACACACAAACACAGTGAAAAAGTCCCGCTGGTGACATACCTATTGAAAAAAAAAAAAAAACATGTGCGGCCACGACTTATTAACAAGCAGGAACGAGACTCTGATGCTTGGTCACAGCTTAGTAATGCATGGGAATGAGATCATCGAGTCGAGGGAATGAGATGGAATGAAAAAAATAGCATAGCATAGCATGGCCACGTATTAATAATATTTGACCATTGTGTTGATTTTGCCAGCTAGTGAGTGCATACATGCAGGGTTTTTTTTTACGGTAACTACCACATGCTAGGAGGAGGAAATGAGCTACTGCTTGCCTTTTACTTAAAATGTAGACACTATACAAGTTTACATGTGCTATTCATTACTAATTTCTTAAAATAGCTTCTTTTTCCTAGAACAGAATGTTCGTTTTTTTTATACATTTACTCCATTAAAACAATTGAGATTTATGTAAAAATAATATGCAAAACAAAGAACATCTCAGTCCTATCATTTACAATAACTAGATAAAATAGAAGTTGTGTAAATACTAAGAACTCTGTTTAGATCTATCAAGATCTCTATGTCCACGTATCCACGTATTTCCACATACTCAAATTGACAAGAGACAAAAATGTATTTCCTCTAGTGTTAGTCTCTAAAAATCAGCACCATACTGACTCCCCCACAATACAGCAGCAATTTCTGTTAAGAACGACACCCTTTTTGTCTCTCTCTCTCTCTCTTATTTTAGAGATAGACTGACAGAGCAGGAAAGAGAAGGAGAGAGACTGAAGAAAAAGTCTGATTGTGTGAGAGTTTGCCTTTAACTCTTTGATGGAATTCTTTTGTCCTAAAGGTGCTCTCTCCTAAAGCCAGTCTCATCATCAGTAAGCTAGAAAGGCTGCTCAGTAATAACTCTGCAATCTCCAGAGCAAACAAGCAGTCACGCTGCATGAGAAAGTATCTTTTTTTTTTTTTTTTTAATCAGCACGATGCGTCAGACAATGCACACAGACAAGTGCTATAGAAAACGCTTCAGCTGCAGGCAAATACTTGTGCTGAATAAAAAGCAGTATGTGCACACAAAAAGAAAGAATCACAATGAATCAATGTGATTTATTGACATTTAAAGTATAACAGGGAAAGTAGGCAGAAGTACAGCAAGTGAAGAAGTGCAAGAGTGCTGCCCATTCCAACACGGTTCCCTTCCATCACTTTCAATTATCAAACACTTCCCTTTAAAATGAGTTATTTTATCACTGCAGAAAGACCAATTGTCCTCTGAGCTGTATTTTACATTAGCCAAAGCCTTTAGAGAGAAAAAGACTTTCATTAGGCTTTACAGCTGACTGCCTTCTTCATTCCTTTTCTCAAGAAACTATTCACAAAGCTCTGAGGAGTCACATGAGAGGATGCTGGGACAGAAAGGCCAAGATGGATGTAAGCAGGGAATATCAGTTCACATGCACAATGGACACAATTAATCTTCTCTTCAAGTATCAGAAGATTATTTGGGGGGGGGGAATGAGCGTGTGAGAAGAAGTAGAGGAGGGGGACGGTGAAATGACTGACTCCAATGGTGACTAAAATGATAGCGAGTCTATGAGAGGACTGTCTTCTCCCAACATTATGAGCATGTAAAGTGAAGAGAAGCAGGCGGGAGAATATTTCCCAAGTGACTAAAGGCAAAGATAATCTGGATAAATGTTGACAGAACCAAGTCAATATTTTGGACAGCTCCAAATTGAGGTGACAGAGCAGAATTACTTGTTGACAAGGGAACTAATATGTCTTTCACGTCTTATTTCATCTCCCCTTTCCTCTCTGGCTAAGCTCAAAGGTTACAAAAGGGGGTCTCCATTGCAGCTTATGGCAGCCTTATGCCATGAGAGCCTACATTAAGTTCTTTCTAATACAGCTGGATCTTCAGTGGCTAAACCACTTCTCTTCTCAGAGTATTCAATTCCTGACAAGCCAATACTGATGGGTCACAAGAATAAGCTATAAGAAATGAAGATTTTTTTTTCTATTTCCCCAAAATGACAGCTTGGAACATGACATGGTAGCAGTGCTTCTCATTAAATCTGTTAAATGGCCTGTCTCAAGAGAATTACAGCCTCCATTTCACACAGTGCTAAACTGAATCGAAGAGATTACATGAAATGTTATCCCAAATGAAACTAAAGGCAGAGTTACTTTTACAGTATTGCTGTTCAGTAATTTTTTTGGATTGAACAATTTCCATGTATTGTGCCTTAAATTCAAAATACCCATGTTGTTGTTGATGTTTAAAAGTGAGCATTTAACCACAGGTGGTAAAAGTAGCCAAATTATTCAGCCTAAATCTGGAATGGGATATTCAAAAATCACACAAGGGTGTGATGATCAGGTGTCGACAAACCTAGAGCTATATAGTGTAGTGAATGTGTTTGTAGAAAGTAGATATTTTCTTTCAAAATATATGAAGAACTGAGTATTGTAACAAAGGAATTACTTCCCACCTCTGCAATTAACTACACAACCTAAAGATGTTACTTCAGTACTTGCACAACTCTCATGTATTTAGCTACAGCTTGTTTAGGTTTCAGCTTAAAACAACCAAAACAGGGATGAACACTGTTTTTAGTGTATTGAAAACAATGTCCATTAAGGGAACTTTTTCCCATTTCGTTGCTACTGACACTTTTTATTCACTTGAACTTTCCCATACATGAGGAACTGTTATAGACATTTGAGTTTAGCAGAAGTTAGAGCAGCTCAGAGCTCTGTGAAACACTACTGGCAGTGTGAAGCAGTCTGTGGCTTGCACTACACTGGCACACAATCATTTGGAGCAGCATTGATAGAGAAACTGGGCCAATTTTTGAGTACAGCTTGTCTTGGCCTGAATTTGAACCAGTGTATGTTGCGGTAGACACTGGGAAAGAGTCAGCTAAAGCTTTATTGAGTCCATAGAAACAAGATGTTAACAAAAACAAAACAAAAAAAAACACTCTTTTGGTAAATTGACCGGATACACTATGGTAAAATTAAACTAGAGATGGGCGATATGACGAAAATATCATATCATGATTCTCAAAGACATTTCTACGATACATGATATGCATCACAATATATAGGTTCGCTAACAGAAGACCAGCAGTAGTGTTGCATAAAAATCAAACCTGTTTGATGATAATTTATTTATATAACATTTTATTTCTAAAAATATTTTACACTGAAAATGTGAAAAATAATTTCAAATCTGTAAAAATATTAACATATTAATTAATTAAAGTTATCTTAACAAAGTGTGTCATACTGTGACATAATTTATCACGATATTATGTCACATTATATCATGATAATTCCTATGCTAACACACTGGGTGGCTACTTCATTTTCTGCCACGCTCATCTAGATAAGCAGTGGTGTTCTGTAGCAAGCGGTCAGCAGGCAGGAAGCAAGCGGTGAGGGGTGACCATGACTCAACCTCGACAGATTGCTGCGAAGTAACTGAGGGGAGAGAGTACGGGTAGTCCTGCTTTTTATCCAGACAATCTCTAGGAACATTTTTCCAATGTGTCTTTCTGACGGTTGATAATAATCAAATATAAATCCCTGTAATTAAGATCGTAATAATAATAAAGATGTTAATAATAATGTACTTATGTAAAATGTGCACTGAATAATATGTTGTTCTTCTTCTTCTTTCAGCCGTTAGGGGTCACCACAGCGAATCATTGGTCCACATATTTGATTTGGCACAATTTTTATGCCGGATGCCCTTCCCGACATAACCCTCCCCAATTTTTATCCAGGCTTGGGACCAGCGCTGGGAGTAACTCTAATGACTAAGGTTGGTTCCCTGGCCAGGAATCAAACCCGGGCCGCGGCGGTGAGAGCGTCAAGGCCTAACCACTAGTCCTCCAGGGACCCTGCACTGAATATATATATATATATATATATATATATATATATATATATATATATATATACACATATACACACACACACACACACACACACACACACTATATTACCAAAAGTATTCAGTCACCTGCCTTGACTCACATATGAACTTAAGTGCCATCCCATTCCTAACCCATAGGGTTCAATATGATGTCAGTCCACCTTTTGCAGCTATTACAGCTTCAACTCTTCTGGGAAGGCTGTCCACAAGGTTGAGGAGTGTGTTTATAGGAATTTTTG